CAAAGCCAGAAAGCTTGCTAACTAAAAGCTGCTCTGTGAAAGAGTTCCTTCACAGCATCTTAAAGAGAATCCCCAGCAGTTGCCCCCCAAGTCTCCCCAAAAAAAGAGAATCCCAGAACCGTATGGGTTGGAAGGGACCTCTGCAGCCCCCAGCCCCCCAGAGCAGGTCTCCAGCAGGAGGTTATGCAGAAAAGTATCCAGGTGGGTTCTGAACCCTCCTCTGGAGATCCTACCACCTCCCTGGGCAGCCTGTCCAGGGTTCTGTCTCTCTCATGGGAAGGAAGTTCTTTCTCATGTTCAGACGGGACTTCTCACATTCTAAAATCTGCCCCAGGTTTGAGGAAGCAGTCTGAAATAACACAGCAGCACAGCCCTGAAGGACACAGAGAGGCCTTCATTCACTAAAGCAGAAGTTTCCATACATATAGAACTTCCAGGTGCTCTAAGCTAAAGAGGAAACTTACTTGGGGGGGGGTGGGGGGGCTGTTTTTTCCCTATGTAACTTAGAATGCCCACTTGTATTTAAGGACCAGGGAACAGCATATAGGACACCAAGGATGTCTTGTGCTCAGTAATCATCATTCTCTAAGCTTCATGAACTCCTGAGAGCAGCTTAAATTATCTAGTTTCTATTGTAATATATGGCTGATTGGTGATGGGAGAGGAACTGTTTTAAAACGTTCATATTCTCAGTGCTTAACCAGTGCACGGTTCCTGATGGCCCTACAGACAGGGTCACAAAAGAGACACCTAAGAGACACTAAAAACCAAACTCATCGCGCGTCTGCCAGCACTCCCTTGTCCTATACAGCACTGCTCTGGGTTTGGCTCCAGGTTTGGCTCCTGCCCCAGCGCGTTGCATTGCACAGAAGGGATGCTCCCAGCCCTGCTGCTCAGAACCTGTCGGTGGCATCCAGCCCTGCAGGTTGCTCTGCAGTGGCTCCTGACACAGAGATCCAGCAGCTCCATGCTGCTATCCCAGGAACACCAAATATCTCAGACTTCCAGAGAGACAGAGCAGCAAACCCATCCGCTTACTGTAACGTCGTTGTTCCCAATCACATCATGATGAAAGAGGGCACAGAGGCTAAAAAATGACCTCTGTGAGAGAGAGCTGTTGCTTCATTCACCTCTCATCACAGACAGGACCCATCTCTATTGGTGACCCATGCAGACCGCAGGGGCAATGCAGCAGGACAGACAGGCAGCTAACCCATCTGTATGATGTGTACAGGGCAGGAATGTGCTTCTGTGGAGAAGGGAAAGCTGAGCCTTGCTCAAGCAGCACAACTAGCCCCTAGGCTCACTGCCATAAAAACTATGCAGCAAACTCATCCATCAGATCTGACAGCTTCTTCAAAGCATCCTGCAGGTGGGTTCCTCCATTCCATGGGATGAGCTGAGCTCACAGCCCTCTGAAAAGCCCAAAGCGAGTGTGAGCCAAGGGTCCTACCTGTGCACGTAGTAACAACTTGTACTTAATGTCCTCTCCCTAATCAACTTTTTCAGGCTATGAAACAGCAATTCTGTTCCCGATGCGCTCCAGAAAGATCTTTGGGAGTGTTCATCCAACAGCTGCGATGACCCTCTCCTCCTTCACCATTTGCATCTGGGTCAAAGCAACGGAGGTTTTGGACAAAACCATCGTCTTCTCCTATGGAACAAAACTCAATCCCTATGAGATTCAGCTGTACCTCAGCCAGCAGTCTGCAGTGCTCACCGTAGGTAATGCCCAGCACAAGCTGGCTGCCAGGAATGTGGTGGTTCCTGGGAGGTGGATCCATCTGTGTGGCACCTGGAGCTCAGATAACGGGACCGCATCGCTGTGGGTGGACGGAGCGCAAACGGCCACAGCTGTGGGCATTGCTGACACTCATGTTGTTCCTGATGGAGGAATTCTGCAGATCGGCCAAGAGAAGAATGGCTGCTGTGTTGGAGGAGGGTTTGATGAAGCTTTGGCCTTCTCGGGAAAGTTAACAGGGTTGAACCTGTGGGACAGAGTGCTCAGCACTGAGGAGATAGCAACGCAGGGCGGAGAGGATGCGTGCAGCTCCCGGGGCAACATTGTGGGCTGGGGAGTCACGGAGGTTCTGCCTTATGGAGGAGCTCAGTATGTTTCTTAAGCTCCAGTTTCTGAAGCAGAGCACATTCCATCAAGAGCAGAACACCAGTGTACGTACAAGGAACGGAGCTGAAGAAGCCTGTATCTCCCCAGCTCCCAAGGCAGATTAGCACCGCAAATTCACGCAGTGAGATGCTATGGGGGTGGGATTTGATCTCTGCCTGCTCTTTAGGCAGAACACTGAAAATACCACATCCAGACTTGACATTGGATAAGCCATTCCTGAGGTCAGACAATCACCGCCTCTCTAACTTATGCTGAAAGCTGAGTGCCACTGTGGGCACCGCAGTGCTGCCCGGGGCTCCTGCCCAGACCTGGCAATGCCAAGCAGGGTCTGCACACCTCCCAGCCTTCCCTGGCTATTGCTGCTCACCCTCTGGCATAAGCTGTACAAGGGAAGCCCCATCAGCCAAGAAGCGTGTTGTTTATTAAGTGTTGTTAGTGATTTGTAGGCTACAAATAGAACTAGCTTCTTGTTTAAAGCATTTTTAGTGCCACCGACTGACCCGACACATAGGAGTAATATTCACCATCATAATCTGATATGTTTCGAGAAAGTGCAGCTGTATTATACTGTAAATTGACTTTGTCGTAATTTTATTGAGATTATTTTTGTAAAGTTGTTTTGTAAATAAAGATACTTTACTAAACGAAGGCCTTCCTGTGATTCTGTGATTCATGGTTTTCATCAACCGAAGCTCTAAATAAATAGAAAACTGGATTTTCCCCATGTTTTTAAGTGCTCCATTTTAATAGCTAATAGAGAAGAAACAAATATCAAGTCTGATAGAGATGGAGAGCCCCTCGGAGGGCTGCAGGCCAACATCAGCCAGAGGCAGTGCCTAACACTGCAGTCTGAGAAGTTTCTTGACATTTGTTGCCCCACTCATTGCTGAATACAACGCTGCTATCCAACCCTTCCTTCCACAATACAGAAGTAGTAAGAAATAAAAGTGATGACGATGGCATTTCCACTTTACTATGCCGGGGGGGGGGGGGGGGGCAGTTGTGCTTTGTGGCTAAAGCCACGTGTTCTGCTTCAGCATTCCAGCCACGCTGTACATTTAAGGGAAAAAGAAATGCTCAGAGAGCTGCAATTTCCACTGCAATAGGAGTTACCTAAACACTCAGCAATGAGCACAACTGAGAGTTCTTACAAAATGAGATGTGCAAATAACCTGAATTATGGGAGAGTGAAAGGTTACCTCTGTTCATCTGCTGACTTCAGAGGAACACTCAAGTTCCCAACATTGTGCAAGCAATGAAGCACTCTCAAGACCCTTTTCGGCTGCCCTCCATTAAGTGAAAACAAATGTCCCTGGGATGTAGCAGAACCAGCAAAATCCTCACAGATTACCAGCAGTGGTTCCTGGCTGCTTTTCTTGCCATTCCTCATACCTGGGATGCTTTGGTTTTTGGGAAGCCTTTTGCTATCTCCGCACTGCTTTGGCCCATTACCAAACACAACCCAGTCATTCCCACTGACTCAGCTGGAATGCTTTCCAACCACTATTGCTTTGCAGCAACTGTGGATCAGCACAGCTTCCCCATCAGCCAGCAGCTACCTCCATCAGCACCCATCCCCTCCTGCCCTGGCTGAGCTGTATCTGAACAGGCCCTTCGCCTGCTTGGAAAACACAAAATAAAAGTATTTGGGAGAGCATTTTGCCAGCACTACCAATGCAGAGTGCCCTCCTGCAACCTGCAGCTCCCCTCTCTGATTATCCACAGCAACATCTGCTGGTGGAATATCATACATACAGGAAGGCCAGCAGTCAGCTGTGGATGTTTGCCACTCTTCTATATTCATGACTGCACTGTAAAACTCATCACACTCCATGTTTCCATTCATCCCCAGTGGTAATACACAACATAAGCATCTAAATCCAATGCCACAAGCCCTAAAAGAATGATCACTACCAACCCACAAAGCCACAGGGATATCCTGCTCCTGGACCAGTCAGTTTGTACTATCCCACAGCTCATACTTATTGATTGCATTTGTCCTTAAACCAATTAGACTAATTTGTACCATCTTAAGCACCACATTACTTTCTAGCTCAGGGTATCTCTCCAAATTAAAAAAAAAAAAAAAAAAAAAAAAAGCCCATTAAAAAAAAAAAGCACAAAATTAATGAATTCAAGGGCTTAACATTTTCACAACAATATTCATGGAATAATCAGACAGCTGTTGCCAATTCTTACTATTACCTGTGCTCGGAAAAACAAACTGATTTTCTCCTACAACAGCACTGTATTGCAACTGTGAAATTGACAACGTTGGCCAGATTGGAATTCCTTTTTTAAAGCTCTGAATATTTCTGGTTCCTTTTTAAACCACAGAAGTAAAATGTAAAGAGTTTAGCAGCAGAACCATCTGAAGCTACTGATGTAGGCGAGAGTGCAGCATCACCATAAGGCTTTTGCATCTGACACAGGGTGGGATCCATTTCATCCTCATTTCTATTTTGGAGTACTGCCAGTGACACTAATAGAAAGGAGAAGAGCCCAGTAACTGCAGCCTCCTATCACAGCTCCTTACTTGCACTCCATTAGCACAGTGCACTAACAGCTACAGAGAGATTTCCTGCCCTGGGGGTCACCTAAACTACAACGAATCTCCCATAGTCCAAAGGGTTCATTAAGTTCACATATTCCCGAGAGGTGTTCCCTGGTTAATTTCTGTTCATTTAGATTGCCTTACTCACTCAATCACACGTTTATGAGCGTTTGTATGTTCCATACACACACGTCACAGGGTGGGCTCGGCGATCTAGTATTAAATGTGGAGGTTGGTGGCCCTGCCTATGGTGCAGGGTCGGAGCTTCGTGATCCTTGAGGTCCCTCCCAACCCTATGGGTTGGATCCACGTTCGTACCTTGAAGGACACTTTTGACAATGGCATCTGTGTGCTCAGCCAGCAGCTCTGCTTCAGCAATGGCAGCCAGGGAGAGGTAACTCGACATGTTTCTGCACAGCTCCTTATTGCCCCTCTGAAGGAATTTCACCGCCACTGGGACGGCCAGGGCCATCACCGAAGGGCGGCTGTAATTCTGCAAAAACATGAAGAAGCTCTGAAAAATAAGCGGCTGAAGTGAAATAAGGCATCTCCTGCTGATAGGAATTGAAAAATAAAGATCAGAACAACGAGGGGGGGACAGGAAAAGCAAAACAAGGGGTCAAGAAAGCTTATGCTTTGGTGGCAGCACTGACAGCAGGCTTCAAAGAAACAGCAAGGAAGGAAATCTAAAACTGCTGCAGCAGGAGATGATTGTACACACATTTCTGTACTTTGCAAGAGGAGAAAACATGATATTTAGTACACAACATACACATGAACTGCTGCAACATTTTGACCAATTCATTTTGTGTTTAGTCCGTCAGGGAAGACAGCAGAAGCCATGTCCACCAATCCAAACAGAACAGGCTGCTTTCACCCCAACGCACAGCAAACCCCTCGGAGCAATTCCTCCGGCTGGGACCCACTCATGCTGCTCACTGTGCCAGCAGAGCTCAGCCCAGCAGCCAGCCCTGCAGAGTGCAGGCAGTGTGTGCCTGCTGCTGAGAGCTCAGCTTTCTGCCCTTCATCCTCCCCTACCCCGTTCCCTTGCCCAGCTCTCCAACCCCAACTGGGGAAAACTTGACCATATGCAACTACATTCACTGCAAAACAGGACATCAGCATGCTGGATAAACGCACAGGAGCACAGGTCTTCCTTGCATTGGGCCCAGCAGTGGTTATTTCTGTGCTTCTCATCCGTTGTTGTGCTTTTAAGAACTTACAGCAAGGCGTGAATACGGCAGCCACGTGTAGTGACAGCCCACAGCCCTCCAGCATCAGTCACCACGCTCTGCTCAAACCGCAGTCCTGTGACATGCTTGTGAAGTGAGTGAAAACAGAAAAGCCTTTTTTTTTGAAGGGCAGGGGAGAGGTGAAAAATAACTGATGGACTCTGAAATCTAAAGCATACCCGTCAAATGAAGAAGAGCACACATGAGTGGATGCGCTGGTAGGCTTGCTCACAGGCTAACCATCAATTTTCCTCTGATAATTAAGACTTCCTTTCTTAAATTGCAGCCAATTTCCCTGAGCACCGGGGTCAGCAGAAATTGTTCATATGCGTGGCACTGATGAAAGCTATCTTCTGGCCTCACACTGGCGAGGTGGAGGTCAGTCTCTTCTCCCATGCAATAGGTGATAGGACAAAAGAAAATGGCACCGAGATGCGCCAGGGAGGGTCAGGTTGGACATAGGAAACATTTATTCTCCCAAAGATTGGTCAGAGACCAGTGGGGGCACTGTCTCTGGAGGTGTTCAAGAAGTGTTTAGATGTTATACTCAGGGATATGGTTTGGTGGGGAAACACTGATGGCAGGTGGATGGTTAGACTGGATGATCTTGAAGGTCTTTTCCAACCCTAATGATTTTATGAGAATGGCACCAAGCTTCAGCAACCCTAGGGCTACATGCACATACAGCTGAGTTTTGAGATCAGAGTGTGGAAGGATTTTCTGCAGCTATATGTGAAATAGCATGCACGGACTGCATATGTCTATTGCCCATTAAGCTTCTGTACATAGCTGCCCTTGAAGCAAGCAGGACATATTTGTATATATGAGTTGAGGACCTACATCCTTTCTGAAGCCTCCTTAATCAGTGCTTTTCTCTCATCTTCCCTCACTTTTGAGCATCTTTTTGAAACCAGAATACAGCGATTTTGAAAAGAATCCCACAGTATGACTATATTTAACTAGAATCTGAAATCACAGGCAACCAGTGGGCCCCAGATGTTACAGAAAGCAACAAAATAGTGAGCAACAGGGGTAGTCCAGACCGAACACATGCTCGTTCTGGAGCAGCCCTGAAAAATATACATTTCAACCCAAGGAAAAAGCAACTCTGTTGTACATATAGCCAACTCTACCTCTGTGAGAGGGATCTGCCCTGGCCATCAGCCTTAGAAGAGCAGGACTGACCCTAATGAAGGCTACAGCTTGCTGCTCAACAAGAACAGAAGAGCGAATTTAAGAGGCTACAAGGACTACAGGGATTGCCACAGCCCCTTTCCATCAGCCCCTGTGTAATATTGGGCTGCAGCAACTCCTGGCGTTGAGGCAGCTTCTTGTGGCAACTGCTGTGTGACCAAAACTGTGTTTCAGTGAGAAAAGCCTTCAAAACGAATAGATCCGTACGCAGCAGCATGTTTAAATCAACGTAATGCCTTGTTACATTTTGGATGAGAGATAGCAAGTAGGAGCCAAATTCTGCCTCCAAGTTACACGCTAGGACTGCGTGCAGAAAGAATGAGAGGATAAGGCTTGGCCTTCTGATGAGTGCTTAAACAGATCTAAAAAATCTGAAGAATGGGATATTTTTTTCCTATAATAAAGATAAAATACTTAGATAAGAAAAGGCTTTAATTCCGACAGAAGAAAGGTTTCATTTGTTCCATTGTAAGTATCAGGGCATGACAGCACACTTAGGAAATTGTGAGGGTGACAATGAAAAACAGATTTTAATAATATGATATAGTACTGTTTGCAAACCTAGGGGACCTCCCTGCTGCTAATATCAACAGAAACACGCTGTGAGATTCAACCCAGCTGTCAGATATTCATTACAACTTCAACTAACCCTCGCGTACCGCATTCAAAACTCAGTTCATGCCTGCCTTTGTGTTTTCTTTCATGCAAAGGAACTTGCTGATAGCAGCTCTGTTTCAGAGAGCAGTAAATGCTTTTATGACTTTCTCATCTCATTTGAGTGAACTCCTTTCTCAAAGCAATCTGTAACAGAGCAATCCCTAAAACATTTGGATAAGGGAACACAGCTGCTGACAGCGCAGACCGAAAGTGAGGACAAGCCATTGCATGCCTCAGTATGGCTTTTAAGGTACTACGAAGACAAGATATGTCTCCAGTCTGGAAAGTTTGTCCAAACCCAGCTACTTGCTGCTGTTTTCTTCCTAAAACCCATAGCAATGCACTCCAAAGCAATTGTTTCTCCAAATGATGGTCCTGTGGCTCCCCCTGCAACTCTTACATGTAATGCAAATAGTAAGAATTAAAGGAGCATTAAGATAGTGAGATCTGGCACTAGACAGGTGCAACATTTCTAAAGATAAGGAAGCTGCAACAGATTTGATTCACTGATATGGATATCACATAATAATATACATTAGCACTGGGGGTCAAATTCTTGGTTTTAAAGACATGCAGCCACTCTCACCCTCAGATAACACAAAGTGCTGCTACCTTTTAGGAGATAAAGCTGAATAGCTGAGGAATGCATGGCACTCCCTCGCCTTCAGCTCCCTCTCACCTGCAAGATGCAGCTCATGATATCAGATGCAATTTTCGCATGCGGCGTGTCCTCGTCTTTGCCAGAAGGCTTCAGATTGTGCTCCAGACACGACTCCCAGAGAGCCACCAGGGCTTTCCCATGCTTCTCTATGGACTCCGTCTCCCTGATGGCAGTGGTGATGCGAGTGATGCAGATTTCCACAACGGCCTGGTCGTTGTCATTGGTTTGGTAGTCCTGGTTGAAATAAAGAGACGTGTGCCAAGCACATCTGGGAGCAGACCCCGCTGCATTAACCAGAAGGCATAAAGGTTTTGGGGCTGCTCACTGTTTGCTTGCTTCCACCTTTACAGTGGATGCTTATCTTGATTGAACACTGATCAGACATGTCATAGACAATACGCTGTTCCAAGTGCTAATGTTCATTACTGCTAAGATAAGGATTATGCTATCACATGATTTTTAATAGGCTGCCCTTCTTGATGGCCTCAAGTTGCGCCAGAGGAGATTTAGGTTGGATATCAGGAAAAACTTCTTTACAAAAAGGGTTGTTAAGCACTGCAATGGGCTGCTCAGGGAGGTGGTTGAGTCACCACCCCTGGATGTGTTTAAAAACCATTTGGATGTGGTGCTCAGGGACATGATTTAGCGGAGGGCTGTCAGAATTAGGGTAGTGTGGTTAGGTTGTGGTTAGACTTGATGATCTGTAAGGTCTTTTCCAACCTGAGCAATTCCATGATTCTACAAGAGATTGAGCTACATGCTTTACAACCACTTGCATGGGATTTTCCTCCCATGAATACCATAAAATATCAAACCAAAACAGTTATATCCACATAGTCACATAAATGCTGGGTCCAAATACTTCCCATCATTTTGCCTGATGTAAGCACAGTTAGCTTCAATTAGTGCTAACACAATAGGAATAAGAAACAAGTAAATAAACTTCATCACAAAACTGTGCAATCCCCCATAATTACTGGGGCACATCCCACATGGCTAGAGAATGGTAGCACTTAGCAGCTTGAAAGGCTGCTGGGAAGAGCAATACCCAGACACAACATCACCATCCCTCAGTCTCACCCATGCTGTTCCACCCTGAAAACTAATAAAGATGAAAGGTGGACCCACGTCATGCCAGAAAATTGCAGTTGTTGCAATATCATGTTGCTTGCTGAGTATCTGAGCATTCAGATACTTCCCCTTCCTCCCACAGGCTGGCACGTACCCTAGCCAGAAGTGCATTTGAGGGGTTTGAGGCTCTGATTCAAGTCTCCCATAGAAGATAATCAAGGAACGGATGGGCTGATCATTAAACTGGATGCAACTTGTTCTGTAACCAGACACGAGTTAAAGGCAAAACACAAAGATGAGGGATGGCACTGGGACAAGATACAAGGGGTTGGGCTCTGGCAATGGACTGCTGCCCTTCAGGAGCTCACCAACCACTGTGTAACCTCACGCTTCTCCACAATGGAGCCAGTGGAGCACTGGTGTAAGCACTGCAATGGGCTGCCCAGGGAGCTGGTTGAGTCACCATCCCTGGATGTGTTTAAAAACCATTTGGATGTGGTGCTCAGGGTCACGATTTAGCAGAGGGCTGTTAGTTAGGGTAGTTTGGTTAGGTTGTGGTTGGACTTGATGATCTTTAAGGCCTTTTTCAACCTGAGCAATTCTATTCTATTTTAACCAGTGCCCTGGCAGCAGCCCCCAAGCCTGGAGCCAGTCCCAGACAAAGGAAAGGAAGCAGAAGGTTTATCTTATATTTCGCTTGGCATTCTTGAGTTTAAAATCTTAAATTGTGCACATCCCCATCTTTAACACTTTGTTAATACAATACATTTAATCTCACTAATTACAGGACAGCATTTCACTTACAGCAGATGAACTAATTGTCCTTATTTGTTCAAGAGCTTCAGAGAGGCTTCCTTCAATTTCAGCATCCTCCAAGGAGAAAAGATCCCCTGCACGTGAAAGGTCCCTTTGTGCCAAAACCAGCCCAAATAAATGGTGCATGGTGGCACTTGCTGCCACTCAGCCAGGCCTCTGCACACACCATGTGCTCGAAGGAGTTAGATGAGGGCAAAACGGAAACAATCCTGTCCATCAGCCATCCATTCAACACGAAGAATAAATCTGCAGCATATTTCAAGACTTCATTCCTCAGCCATAATCTAAAAGGGGGAGAAAAACAAGGAGGAAGAAGTAGTTGATGTACTCACTACCATCCAGTTTAGTGAAGATTTTTAAATGGTACGTAGAGTCAGCATGCGGAACCCCCTGACCTAGAGATGTCCTTAAGCACCTACCATGAACTGCATGCTGAAGGACTTTTGCCCTCAAACACTAACTAGCTAAACGACACGGCTTTTATTAAATAAAAAAAAAGTTTGTCCTCTCAAGGCGGATCACCAGGAAACAAAAAAAGGTTGACTGGGCTAACTGAAACATAGTGCCGACCTCCTTTCTATGGTCAGCAGTAGAGTGGAGCTGGAGTAGGTGTGCTGGGCTGCTTGGTTTTCTGGGTTTGTGTCCTGACTCAAGAAATACGCCATTTGTGAGCTCAAGATAATGACTTTTGTTTAGAAAAAACAGTCACTTTTGATGTCAAAACGATCCCTGCAAACTTTCTGGCTCATGTAAAACAAACATTTGGCTGAGTTGGAGCTATGGACATCTCCTTGGCTGGGGAATGCAACAGAAGACAAGCCAAGCAGGGCCAGGCTCAGCAGGCGCTCACAAAGGACAACAGTCCTGCACTCATGTCCCAGAACTGTGGTGATTAAAGCTTCCTTAGAGGGGACGTTTGACTTAATTACAGGAGAGGTTTGTTGATTTGACTGCCATTTCAGAAGTGTTGTTTGCTATTTGAGGGCTGCCAGGTCTTGCCTCATGTGGACGGGACCCTCTGCTCATCCATCTTCAAAGCAAGAGTTTTCATGGCCAACCTCAGACTCCTGTTCCAAGGAAGGGACAGAGTCCCTTGGGCCCAGAACACCTTGTGTGGACATTGCAAAGACAGGTGCAAATGTTTGCACGTAGAGAATACCTGTCCTTGAGCCTCCAAGAGGCTGCATGACAGCTCTACTGGTGGGAGCAGGACAAGGGTGGTCCCTCAGCTCCAGTCTGCAGTGCATTCTCCTTTCCCACCAACACCATGCAATTTTTGAGTAAGTAAAACAACCTTTTTCCACCAAATTCCTGAACTTTCACTACAGACAAAAGCACAACACTCTTCCCAAGTACAGCAAACAGTCTGTGTTTGAGCTTTAGAAAAGGCCCCATCAGTATGACCTCCTTTTTCACTCAGGTTTGCACTAGATGAACCTGCTGGAGGTGTCAAGAACCACCAGGCAGCTCTGGGCACACGCATTCATCAGCCAGGCACTGCCAAACTCGAGACCATGCACTAGAACACAAACATTTTGCCAAAAAGGCAACAATTTCCTCTTTCTTCATTTATTCGCAAAAAGTATTTCCTGATTTCAAGGATAACAAGAGATTCTCCAAGCATGCTTCCAGACTGGGAGACTGGGCCCATCGTAGTCATACTCAGCAATTCTCAACTTCAAAAATAAAACATCAAAAAGCTACAAACTTTTTTTTAATTGTTATTATTATTTTTTACCTGCTCACAACTCCACAACGGCATCCTCAGCGATGTCTGTGGGTGCAAAGTTTGCATTCTTTGAAACAAAGCCTATTTGCTTTGCTCTCCTGCGACCGTGGGCAACATTCAAGGGCACGGGTGGCAAGCAGGGATTCTGGTGGCAGGCAGTGAACCCGAAGCTGTTAATTGCAGTGCCAGGAGTAAAGCATCTCAGGAATGCAGACTAAAGCAGCCTAAAAGTTACCAGCGGCCCCATCAGGTGACTACAGGCACCATAACGCAGAGGGGCCTTATCTTTGAATGAAACTCTGTTTCTGGGACAAAATACAAAGCCTATTCCACTTGAGTGCAGTTGTTTTTAATAGAGAAAACAGAACTCTCTGTGTTAGTGGAAAGCTATCCTTGCCTGGGAAGAAGGTAAAAAAGCCCTCCGTAAGCTCGCACCGTTTGTTCACTTGTTCTTTTCCTCTGCTGCACAGGAGATTGTCTTTCCAAAGAAAAAATGCTGTCATTCTACAACACTTCCCATGAATATAAAAGAGGGTCTGAAGTTTGCTTTGGCTTCTAACGCTGCATTCAGAAGTAGCACAACGAAATCTGCTCACAGAATTATTAAAATTCAGGAATGGAGACCCATTGAATCTTTTCTTTGAGCTGCAACACTGAAACACGGCCGCCCCTCCTTGGCCTTCTGCAGATGACACCTTACCTGCTGCTGTTATACACACAACACGTCTTGTAAAGCATTTTGTTGTTTCCTTCGGGTTCTAAGAAAGAGGCCTGTTGGACTACTAAACTCAGAGCATGGTTTCTGAGGTGCCTCATCAGTTTGACTTCCCATCACCTATCAGCATTATCTTGTTCAGACAGACAGACAGACATCTCTGTCAGGGCAGCATCTGAGACGGGCACCAGGCACTCCATCAAGAGGAAAAAGGTCAAAGATGCTGCCAAAGTTCCCGACTCCCACACAGATCCCCATCAGCTCAGAGTCTGCAGGGTTAGCAGCAGGGATCTGCCCCTTCGTGTGGTCACAACATGGGAACAAAGCGCTGACTTTGGCTCTCATCGCAGCCTTCAGGTCATCACTATGCAAAAAGTGAGACTCAGCACATCATACAGGGCATTCCACTCTTTTGGGGTGCGCTCCCACATCAGAAGCAAAACTTGGAGGGAGATTTTTCTGCACCTAGATTCTCTTTTCTTAACAAACTGAGAGTTCCCAGGGACCTTGAAGCTGCTCCCCACCAAGGTGAGCCTGGTAACTTGCTGGAGGCACAGCATTCTTACCAAAGTTCCTTATCAGAAGCATTCAGAATAAAAGCTAGCCTGACAGGTTCAGAGCTTAAAGCAATTGAATCGGTCTGTTTGCAAAATAATTCACCCAATAATAGAAGATTAACAACAAAAATTCCACATGAAGTGACATTTGGACCTAAGGGCATCCGAGAGCCAATTGAACTCTAAGCAAAAAAGCTGAGCCTTGAATTTTATCAGAAATTTGGGTTTCGCAGAAGGACATTAGAAGGACAAAATACAATTAAACTGTGCTATTCCACTAAAAATAAAAGGGCAAGAATTGTGCTATGGTATTTTTGATTCACTGTACACGAAGCAACATACACGAGAGGAAGGTGCTCTCAGGATTTTCCCTGAAGAAAGGGACATCCATCACAGGGCTGAGAGGCCAGCAGCCTTGCTGGCCCATAGCAATCCCAGGCACATCACAACCTAATGCTTCACCTATTCTATCCATTAAATATAAAGAAATACATCGATAGAATTGATGCCCTTACCTCACAGATGTGCTGCCATGCTCTGCAGACTGGATGGCACTAAGTGCTTGGGATGCCTCGGATGGAAGATGCAAAAGCAAACCAGTATCAGTAACTCAGTGCCTTTTCAGCAGTCTGTGTGCAGACAGTAAAATATATTCTGCATGATACCACCAGGAGTAAGACTCACTGGGGTTAGTATTTAGGATATGGTCTTACTTTAAGAAATAAATATGAAGCAAAACCCGAAGTCCACTCAAATGGGACCACAGATCTAGTGAACTCTGCAGGAGTTTGATGTTATTCACACACACGGATGGAACAAAGAGAGGTTTCTATTTCCATTCTCTCTGGGGGTGGGGACAAATGATTTCAACTAGTGCATATTTCATTTTATTTCACTTCTCTGTGAACAGGAGGTGGACTGCAATCACTGTCAAAGCAGACTTCCATTCTGTATATACAACAGCATTCCCTTCTCTTGAAATTCTTCTCCCCAGCTCACTCCTAATTCCACAGAATAGATTTTTCCTGTATGTCTCAGTTACAGAACCACTACTTCCAGGACTGATAGATATTTCCTTCTCCACATGCATCCATGCAGGAAAAAAAAATAAGGCCTGGATACATTTCCTGTTAATTTTTGGCCTGAAACTTTCCCAATATTCACACACATAATTTAGGGACAGAATATAGCAAGATATTTCGGACAACTCCTCTCCCCTGTGCGCTACACCAATAATTCAGTTTATTTTTGCGTTGGAAACACATCGAACTTCCTAAAAAAAAAAGCACTCAAACTTTAAATAAAGTTCTCACATTTTTCAGTGAAAGAGAAGGATTAAAGATGATTTTGAAACAGCATCATTTCCACACAGGGTGAACAGAGCACGGCAGTCCCCATGGGGTCGGCTGCATGCATTTAAACTCTTTCCACAAGACCACCATTGTTTGCTGGAAGCCCCTCTGCTTTTTGCTGCCATGACAGGTTTCCACACTTCATGCCACATGGAAATCCTGTGGAGGCTGAGCTGCACCAGATGATGAGACAGGGAATCACAAAGTCTACTAATTACACTATGCTTGATTTCTTTTTTCCTGCCTTGTTGCAGGCTGGGGAGCTGTGAGTTGTCCCAGACATCCAGCTTTAATGAAAAAGGAAGCAACTGTAAAAGAAGGGGAGGCAGCATGCTTTGAGATGCATCTCTTCTAACAGAGCAGCTGTTGGGCAGCAGCCCATCCTCGTGCAGCACTCCTAGGCATGCACATACTCTCTCCTGTGATAAACAGACTGAACAGGGAGGATTTATTTATTGGTCAGGTGCTGCTTTCAGCAAGGCAGACCTCACAGATCTTGGATGAAACTTTGGTTACAAGAACAAAACTGATGCAGAGTGGAAAGAATGCACCTACATGCTCATTAACTCACACTTGTGCAAACACTTGCTAACTCCACAAAAGCACCTACACTTCTTGTTAGATGTCTACTCGGTACCTTATGCACCATGGAGACAATTTTCTGCATCTGAGGGAGGCAGCAGCTGAAGGCTCTCTGAATTCCCTTCTGGAAATGAAAGCAGGAGCAGAGCAAGGAAGGGATTCACAATCCCTGTCGCTTAAGCTCTCCTGCAGTCACTGAACAACCACCACCTGCCCTGAAGTTCCTCCCAGGCACAGAGCAATCCACTCTGATTTCTCTTCAGTGCGTGAATCAACGCGGCCAACACCTTTCCCCATCTGCATTCCCAAAGTTCCCCAATGTGAGGCAATAACAGAGGCAGAATGCCTTCTGAGAGTGAGAGGGGAAAGCAAAACGCATTCACAGCCCAAAATGAACCACTGTCACTGTAGGACTAACACAGAGCATGGCACACCACGACACGCAGGCACTGCTTTTTCCTCTCTCGAGGAAACTCTAAGCTCACTTACAACCCGTTTTGCACAAACATTACTGCAATACAGTTATGCACGCAATAACCACAGCTTTGCATTCACAGAAATCCCAGTAACAGCCGCACTATTAAATACCACATTTCATAAACTCTCAGACATCTCTTCCATTATTTAATATTTGGATGTGCTGCTCAACTTCTTTCCACGCAGCAATTTATTCATTATTGAAAACGTTTCATGAATGCATATTTAAGTTAGTTATTCATACCTCTCAGAAGAGAAACCTCGGAAAAACATTAATAATTGAAGGCAAATTGTTGGTCTTTAGAGAAATTCTGATAAAATCCATTAGGGCTGTCAGTTCCCCTTCCATCCCCCGGTCTCTGGTATGTGAGGCTGCTGGCGCGGGCGCAGCCTTGTCAAACCAACCGTACAGTCTATTCAGTTACCCTGGAGTTGTCATGTGGAATCAAGCAAACAAATATCTTCTCTCCGTTTTCCCCAACTCCAGAACTCAAAAACAGATCAGAACCAATTCTTCACAAAGATTAACTGCTGCAGCAGCTTGAGTAAAAATGCTCGGAGCTTTGATATGGAATTGGAATTAGTTAGGAGGATTTATCAACAGCCAGTGGTTACATTCAGTTAATTAATAACCTGCTAAGAGCAACGAGGAAATTGCAGAAGTTAATGTAAGTTATGGGGCCTCTTGTCAGGAGCCAGTGGGAAGGTCGGCCTTGTTTGGTGTCTTTGGAAGGACACCAGCCAAAGAAAATTCGGGAAGAAGCTGGGCACCTGGTAGGAAATGCATCCCTTCAGGTGGCATTGGGTGCATCATACCCACCCCCAGCACTGCAGACAAAGCCACCCATGTGAGAGCAGTGCCCAGGACCTACCCAAGCACCTCTACAGCTTGCCAGCTGCTCTGGAGGAGTCACATCTAAAGCACTCCGGCAGCATTTTGTATACAAGAAAACGTGCTTTCCCTCCACTTTAAGCATATCTAGATACTCTTCCCCTTAACCTTCTCTCAATAAGTAAATTTCAGATTTCCAACAAATCAGCAGTAACTAAATCCTACCCTACACGTAGTGCAGAACCAACGCAGGGCGATGCCCTCCCCTGGCAGAACACAGGAGCAAACCCACACTGGGTTGTCCCAGCACTGACATTATTCTAATAACAGCCAAAGCAATAAGAAATGAGCCAACTCAGTGCAGCAAAGGGTAAGGTCAGGCACTCCTAGCCAGCTACTGGAAGAAAAGAGACAGCCTGCCCAAACAGAAGGAGGAGGCACTCTTGCACCATTCTTCTTAGGGCTTTTGTCCCTTTACAGCACAGTGAGAATTTAGAAATCATAGATAAAAGAACTCTTTTCCACAGAAGAAGCATTCACTCATAGAAGTTCTCAATTTTAACAGTAAATGTGCTCAGAATAGCTTTTTTTTTCCCCTCCAGATCATTCCAGCATTATCTCCACAACCAAATCAAAACTTAATGGTGGGTGAACACAACATGCCTTTAACAATGCTAAGAGATTATGTAGAAGAATGCGATTGCATTTTCTCCACATCTTCCCTCTAAGCCAGCGTGCACATGACGCACATTTCTTCTTGTCTCTAGGCCTAGAAGAGTGTAAAAGAGGACCTTGGATTTTACTTCTGCATCCAATTCAATTCAAGTCTCAGCACAGTGTGAACTAATGGGTTGATTCCTTCACTCACTGCAAACCCACTTTCAATTTCAGAGGGCTGGAGCACTTCTCCTATGAAGAAAGGTTGAGAGAACTGGGATTGTTTAGTTTGGAGAAGGCTGTGGGGAGACCTCATTGTGGCCTTTCAATATTTGAAAGGAACGTATAAACAGGAGGAGTTATACCTATTTACAAGGGTGGATGGCAATAGGACAAGGGGGAATGGTCTTCAACTGAGACAGGGGAGGTTTAGGTTGGATATGAGGAGGAAGTTTTTCACACAGAGGGTGGTGATGCACTGGAACAGGCTGCCCAAGGAGGCTGTGGATGCCCCATCCCTGCAGGCATTCAAGGCCAGGCTGGATGTGGCTCTGGGCAGCCTGGGCTGCTGGTTGACGACCTGCACACAGCAGGGGTTGGAACTGGATGAGCACTGTGCTCCTTTGCAACCCAGGCCATTCTGTGATTCTCATAACAACCAAAGTAACACACCCCCCAGCATTGAAAAATCTCTTCAATTTTTATTCAGAAGGAAAGCAGAAGCACAAGCTGGTTTTATGCTTACTCAAACTGCAGTCACAACTGATCACAGTCCAGGAAGGCTTATGTGAAAAGGATGAGCGTTGATCCTCTTCTCAGACCATCCATTCTCAGTGTTGAGAGGTGCACGGCAGTGAGGGGTCCCGCACAGAATACATCTTCCTCTGCAGTGAGTGTTCTCTGCTCCCAGAATCATCTGCAGCAGAAACAAAACCAGCAAAGACAGCAGGCTGGGGAATGCAAGGCAAAGGAAAGATCGAGTGTGAGAGACCCAAACGAGCTTTGAAAAGAAGACTGATGGCGTTACTGTGGGGAAAGACAGAGTGATGTGGCACTTCCCCAGCTACGGGCTTCAATCCCTTCCAATCTGTCTGTTTGCTGCAGGGCTTTGCCACGCTAACCTCACCCTTTACAACCCTGACATATTCATACCTTAATTCTTCTCCTTTTCCACTAATGTGCTCATTGCTATGCACCATTAATACCGCCAAGATGAGGAAACTTTCGCTGATGCAAGATGGCACAGAATGGAATCTAGCAGGATCCTGACCCAAGCCACCCACTGCAGCCCTCTTGAAAGCTCCTTGACTTCCCTCTTGCTGTTTATAAAACAAATAACCCACTACACAAAGAGCACAAATTACCACTGAACCGGAATATGCTTGGAAAGACAGATGAAATTAGAGACAGCAAAGAGCATCTGAGGAACCCACGACTCCAAAGCACATAACGCACATATTAAGCAACGTGCTGCAATAAAGCAAGAAGTTTTCACATCCATTTCGCCATCTGGGAAAGGAAAATTGAGTTTATGAAAAGAGTTCTTCCCATCCTAGAAAAAGCTTGCATTGAACCCTCACAATAGCTGTGATTAATTTGTGTCCTTCTTGAACAAAGCCCTGACAATAATGTATTTTGCTAGACTTCTTTAAATAAACTTCTTGTTAGGAAAGAAAGATGCTATTGTTCTCCCCCTGACTAATTGGTGAAGAGAAACAGAATATTTCGTATTCATAGCACTTAGCCTAAATGAGTCATGCTATCTTCTACTCAGACAAAGCAGTTTAATTTTAATAACTACAATGCTGACAGCTACAGTACTGTTCTTGCAGAAGTTTGCTTGTAAATAATTAACAATTGTTGTATAATGACAGTGGTTTTTTTGATAGCTCTATTAATTTCACAGTCAAGCTGGAGTCTCTTTAATTTAGAGTATTCATAAAAATCCACACGCACCAGCAAACCAATGACATAAAAGGCCGATGGAAAAAACCCCACAGATGTCCTCTGAGGAAGAAACATTTCTCCCCAGGAGTAAGAAAGAGCCAATAAAAAGCATACTGACCTTAACTAAGCAACTCTTATTAGAAGATTTTATACCTTTGTTCCCCAGCAGGTATTTCCTCAAGTTTCCTTCTCCCTGTTTGCTGTCCCAGATAAAGGAGTGAATAATGATGCAGGCATTTATGAAGCAATCGTTGGTGTAAGCTGGACTGGTTTATGAGAAGTATTTCTGGGCCATACTGAACGCTACAGCCCAATAATCAGAGCACAAAATGAGGCAATTACACCAAAGTGGAACGTTCAGGGTTGAAAACTCTCCTGCTAAATAAAGGTAGGCATCAACCTAATACTTCTATCAAATTCCATCCATACATACATGCACTCACCCTCCCACATTCACATTCTGCTAGTCAATTAGTGTACTTTCATTACCTGCCTGCATCATTTTCCACTTGAACTGCATCTTCTACTTCAGGCATCTATTTACACTCACACTGTTCCCACGTACATGGCTTTCTTGATTGAGCTGCACAGTTTATGAACCGTGTTAACTGAGCCACATAATTCCACTGCTGAGTTTTATACACTGCACCAAGCAGCACATGCAGTGCTGGAGCAGTGCCACTGCACTATGAGCCCTGCAAGCTGAGAAGTCCTTTAACACTTCTGCTGCTGCTGCATTTTTCACTTCCACATTCTTTTCCCTACTTTCCCACCTGGAAGGATGGAAATCTACAGTTGGCTTAAGCAAAGGTCTTCCTAAAGATAGCCAAGAAAATGAATCAAACTATTGATGGTGGCCCAAGCAACCCTTGGAGAAGAAGTTCAGGAAAACTTACCTAAAGAGAGCAAAAGCAGCTGCTCCCACAAAGAAGAAATTCTGCCTGACTGCAATGGACTGTTTCAATAGGCACTCGTGCTTTGTTTCTGGTAGAGAGCCAGAGGCCTTTAAAAGAGCCCTAGAAGCAGGCAGTAAAGGTATTAGTGATAAGAAAGCAGGAGGACATGCTGTCCTCAGCTGCCTTGAGTTAAGAGCTCATGATCAGGGCATGTCTGCTGCAGAGATACAACGCCTGGAACCGAGATGGATCTGCACCTGCACAGCATCCTTACAAACCTCATTCACCTTATAGCTAACAGTGATTATCCTCTCAGGCTGATAGCTCATCTGTGCCATAGATGCACATTTAAAGTTACTACAGGCATTTAAGCTAACCTTCAAGGAACACAGCATGCCTTGGTGCAAGGAGCTCCTGCCTTTCCTGTGAGCAGCTCCTCCTCTTGGCACTGGGCAGATGCCACAGTAAGAGTCAGTATTTAAACAGTACTGAAACATCTGCTCAGGGTGCTTCAGAAGCTTACCTCTGCTAATTCTATACCTCACAGATGAGCACAGTGCTTTGAAAAACAGGGACATATGGAACAGTGCTTCCATCAGGAGCTCTAATGGCAGTAATGGCATCAGAGCTAAGCAGTCGCAGTTGTTTTGTAACTCAGGGAAACCAGTCAACAATAACCTCAAGGGAGAGGTTATTTAAATTAATTAATACCACCGCTGGTATGCCTATGTGAATTGCTTTCCCAAACATAATTTTGTTAGCCAGATTTGCAGAGGAATGTCTCCGTGTGGAGTGAGCATGAAACCATGTACATGTAGGGTTGGAAAGGCCTCAAGAGGTGAGGTAAGCCACCTCATTATGTTGAGCAGGAGCCATCAGGTCTAGGCACACCCAATATTTTCTGTTCTGTTCTTGCTTCCCTGAGAGAAGTGCTTCAACACCTCATAATTAGGAACTGCCTGGTAGCAAAACACTCCTTCCAATTCCGTTACAGATGACAAAAGATTGCTGCTTTGTTACCCAGCCTGATTTGGATGTTGTGTTGAGGGACATGGTTTAGTGGGAGCTATTGGAAATGGGTGAACGGTTGGACTGGATGATCTTTTAGGTCTTTTCCAACCTTGGTGATTCTGTGATTCTATGATTTTTGCTCTCTCAAATGTCTCTGGTGGACCAAACACCCCCTGCAGCTGCTCAGCAGCCTCAGCTTTTCCTGCCCCCATTCCTGAAGCTCTGGGTTCTCATTTGTCTTGTACAGTAACACTGAAAGTTCGTTTCTCACATCTCATCAACAGAAGAGATCTGTGCAACCTTCCTGAATATCTTCAATTTCATTAGAGTCATTTCACCTTAAAAATTACAAGATCTAGTTCAAATTTACAGTCTTGGAGTACCTTCACTCACGCCAGGCTGTACACTGAGAAAGGGATTAATGTCACACACATATACAGACCAAAGACTTCATTTTAATGGCAAGGCAACAAAGAAATCCACTTAATGACAAGTTCTCTGGCTAATGTATTATTCATTTTGTTATGTGTCAGTAGAACAAAATTGTATCCATAAATATATAATGCTGTACATATCTCTTCTGCGTAGTTTACATTTATGGGATAATTGCCTGTCTATCAGTACAATGTCCTATCTTTATTCACTTTTTCACTGCTCAGGTCCCTCGAGGCCTGCTAGTGCTCTCAGGACCTTGGCACAAACCTTTCCCAGCGCCGTGCTCCTCTCACAGTGTTGTTATTTTACCCTCTCCATCCACCCGTGTGATCTCTGCACTTGCTGCCCTTGCACGGCCCCAGGCTCACACCCAGCTTTTGGGGTACACGCTGTGTGGGTTCCTTGCATGGAGAATGCCTTTCCCTGGGTGGCACCAGGCCTGAGCCCTGCTGCTCCCTGTGCCCTTTCAGAGCCAGCTGTGGGCTGAGGAGCACAAAGGAGGGATGTGGTCAGTGGGCACGGTGAGGTTGGGTTGGACTTGCTGACCTTAGAGCTCTTTTCCAGCCTTAATGATTCTGTGAAGCACAGAAGACCCCGGCCATCCCATCCTGTCATAACCGATGCCATGTGGGCATCTCAGCCAAAAGCTTTTGAGGCGTGGAACAGAATCCATCTCTTCCCCAAGCCCGTGTCCTGCTGCAGACATGCACAAAGCTGCACGCCTTCACCACTCAGCAGCAGATGAGCCTCATGGACACAAATGGGACTTCCTCAGTGCCAGGCAAGCACTGCTCAGCTGCCAAAGCCAACACGGAGCCATGGTTTGAGCAGCAATTAAACCAGCACAATGCAGACACTGAGCTTTGCTTTAATCATCCTCCCAACCCTGTGTTAATTAGCTAGACAGCAGTAACTACAGAAACAATGAGAATAGAAGTAAAATTGTATTAAAAATTCAGTAAATTATACAACATTCCTTCCTATCAAAATACTTTAAAATATTCATGCTTGAAAGTACATATCCCACAAAGACCCCAGGACTGTTCATTAGATTGCTTCCTTTCTTGGATCCTTGATTGCTGTTACCAATGAAGTGAACAGGCAGTGCTGGCAGCACCAGCAGGTCCGGGGGCACTGCAAAGATATTACTGGTTAATACAGCTGTACAGATTCTTTGGAGTAGAAGGGCTGACATGGATATCAGCCAAAAAAAAGTTGTTCTTCCCTTGATGGAGCCTTTTTTTGGGTGCCATATCTATTAGGATTATGAATGTCATCGTTATTTATTTAATCTCACTTTTACATCTACACACAGGGCTTTCAACAGCACGGTCTGAGAGCTGGAAATCTGTGTCAGAAGTCCAATGGATGTACAGCCTGGGCACCAAAAGCCTAGATTTTGGAATTCAATGGGGGGTATACAGGCCCTTCCAGCTGTACTCTGCTGCCATATCTGGTGGACTGAATGACCCCCAGAGGTCCACGCCAACCCTTACAATTCCACGATTACTGCCATGCAGCGGGCGCTGCTGCCAGGCCTGCAGCCGGCACTTCCGCAGCTCCAATGCGGATTTCCCCCACTTTTTAGACGCCCAGGAGCTCCGACACGGGCTCAGCCCAGCGCACCGCGCCGCTGTACAAACAGGAGCACAGCCCAAACAACCCCCCGGCTCTCGAGCGACAGCTCCGAGAGGGTCGCGCTCAGCGGGCAGGGCGCCTGGCCGGGACTCGGGGGTGGCGGAGGTCCTTTCCAGCTTGAACCACAAATCGTCGCCCCGTGCCGCCTGCAGAGGGCGCTCCGCTCCCACCGCTGCGGCGCTGAGGGCGGGGCGTGCGGGCGGCTCCGTAAGGGCGCGGGGCGGTGGAGTGCAGTGCGGGGATTTCCATCCCTTTTTCCCCGCAGGGTTCGGGCCGGCGGAGCAGCAGCGGTAGCAGCAGCAGCAGCAGCAGCAGCTCAGGGCAGGTCGGTGTGTGCCGCGTTCGCATGCTCGCTTCCCTCCTCGGTGCCGAGCGGGAGCCGCCATGGCCGGGCAGCCCCTCCGCACGGCTCCGCTCCCCCCGCCGCCCCTCTCCCCGGACGGAGCTGCGCTGGATGCGCTGGGAGGTGCTTCCTCTTTGGAACGGCTCTTCTTGATATCTGCTTCTCGTTTTCTTTTCTTCAGTGAGTGAGAAGCGTTCTCGGGATCTGCGCTGGGTGCGGTCCGGCCGTCCTCAGCCCTCGGGAGGAGGCGTTCGAGGTGGGAAAGCAGCTGGCAGCCGGGAGCGGCGGGAGGGTTTCGGGCTGGGAGCGCTCCCAGGAGCTCGGAAATACCCCCTGGGCTCCGTCTTGGTTCTAACTCTTATCCCCCAGGAATAATTAAACAGCCAGGCCATGCTGGATGGGGCTGTGAGTAACCTGGGGCAGGGGGAGGCGTCCCTGCCTGCAGCAGCGGGTTGGAGCTGCACGATCCTGAAGGTTCCAACCCAACCCATTCTATGAGTAGCACACAAATGAATGAGCATCCCTCCGAGTTCCAGGCTGTCCCAGAGTCTGCAGCACTGCTCACAGTGTGACGTCCTGAGGGTGGTGAGGCACTGGCACAGGTTGCCCAAGGAGGCTGTGGATGCCCCATCCCTGCAGGCATTCAAGGCCAGGCTGGATGTGGCTCTGGGCAGCCTGGACTGCTGGTTGGTAACCCTGCACACAGCAGGGGGTTGGAGCTGGATGAACACTGTTGTCCTCTTCAGCCCAGGCCATTCTGTGATCCTATGATCCTGCAGCAGTTGGCTGTGCCATGGCCCCAGGGATGGCTGGACCTCTTGGTGCTGTGGGGCTGGGCTTAATGAGGGGGATTTCACTTCCCAGTCGTTATGTATTAGGGTGAAGTTGCAGGCAGGGGATTGTTAAGGCCCAGAATTATTATAGAAACGTAACTCACCCTTTTGTGTTGTTTTCCTTTCTCATCGACTGAAAGGAGAGAAACATTGTACCAATCTCATTCTGTTTGCAGGCGGAAAGCATTTCATGCGACAGAAGAGAGGTGGTCGGTCTTGTTTAAATGTTGAGGAAGAACTGAAGTGAAGGAGGATCCATTCACATTGGTTCTGCTCAAACACCGTGCTACTTTTGCACTGTGAGCATAGATATGCAGTGTGTCAGTTCCAAATGATGTGGGTCTCTTGGTCTGGCACACCTAGTCCAGATGTAAACTAACTGGAGCTGCCAACAATACTGACCACATTGCCTTTCCCTTCCAGCAGTGGAGAAGGACTTCAGGTTTGTGTCAGACACATTGAGGTTTACAGCATCCAGTTGTTCTGAGCTGGGGTTGGATTCTTTGTTTGGGTGATAGTGCTCTTTTTTGGGACACTGAAGTTTTAAGAACAACAGCCAAAATTAAAGCAGTTAGTGTTAATAAGGCCAAAAAGGGAGATGCAAGGAGTGCCCATCTGGGAAGCAGTGGTGGCCTGGCTGAGTCCCAGCTCCCACTGCCTCTCAAAGCGTTCTGTTTCCTATCCTAGCTGTAGAGTTTTGGAGCAGAGAGCAGCAGGAGTTCAGGTGACTGAGCCCGAATTGCCACATTGCTCTTCTTAGCCCACAGTCCATGTTCTTTGAGTTTTTGTATGCACTAATCAAACTAGAATGAAGATACTCAGGTGTAGTTTTAAATACCACGTTCAACCTTGGTTTTCTTTCTTTTTTTTTTTTTTGGTCTCCTATATTTTGGATATATTGAAATGGACACTTGGGATGAAGTTGAAGTGCAGTGGTATCTAATAAAACGTGTGGTTTGTGTCTCAGTGCTTACAGATGGTTGACAGTTCATGGCATAAGGCCTGCCCAGCAGTATGTGTGCTCTGATGCTTCTGCCTTCTTAGTGGATGCTGACACCCTGTTCAGCTGCAAAGTGCCAGAATGGGAAGCTTACCTGCAATGCTGCTCACAGATAATTTTGAACTTTAAAAATTATTTGCAAAGATGACTGCAAAGCCCAGTGACTTCACCAGCACGAGCTGAATATCTCCTACAGGTGAATTCTCAGCATATGAAAATGTGTTTGTTTTTATTGTCTGTGTGGTTTAGGTCTCATGATGATAGTTCCCTTGAGAGGCAGCCAGCTTCTGCAGAAAACTTGTTCCAGCACTGAGCGCTGCAGATACCTGAAGTCTGAAAAGAGAAGGAAAAAAGCCAATTTCTCACTGTCTAGCCAAGTGAGTCCTTTCATTTTCTTGTTGTTTGGGGACTTTTTGGGGGTGGGTTCGGGCTGGGATTACCTTTATTTACTTTGTGAATATTTACATAGTAAATACTTTCCCAATTTCCTCTGAAGTATTAAATATTATCAGCTGTCTGGCAGGGTACGGGATCCCTAACTGGTCTGATGGGCTACTTAGATGCAGGCAGGCATAAGAGCTTGTCTGCAATCTGAGCATTAAGGGATTTCCTTTTCATAACATTAGCTGGAAGTGAATTACCTGGAACTCAACACTACGTTTGTGTTTTGTAAGTGTGAATCATAGAATCACAGAATCCTAGAATGGCCTGGGTTGCAAAGGAGCACAATGCTCATCAGTTCCAACCCCCTGCTGTGTGCAGGTCACCAACCATCAGCCCAGGCTGCCCAGAGCCACATCCAGCCTGGCCTTGAATGCCTGCAGGGATGGGGCATCCACAGCCTCCTTGGGCAAGGAGAGGGTGGAGTGTTCATTAAAGAGAGCATCCTTACTTCACTGGAATAATGCTAAACATGGAAATCAGAGTTTTGATATAAATACAAATCTTGTTTTTTGTTTACTTTACCCTGTAGCAGTTTTCTGAGCCCTGAGCGTAACTGGCAATCTCTGCCTAACGTGAGCTCAGATTAAAGTGGTGCAGTGGTGTAAATCCAGAGCGTTGCAAATAGTTGTCAGGCATTAATGAATGTGATGGACCACAAAGCATCTCTTCTTTCTTGGAAGTCCAACATCTTTTCTGTAAGCAATAAATAAGAGCAAGCATCTTATGGTTAACATCATATTCACACTGGCTGTATTTGTTTCATTGAATTTGGCAGGTTTGTTTATGAGATTGGAAATAACTGTGATCTCAAGCATCCGTCTGCATGCAGAGGGTTTTCACAGCAGATATTCAGCTTTGGTAAAAGGATTTGCAGATTTGCATGGGGTAAAAATGGAGGCAGAAATAAACTTCTGAAACTGAGCCTCAGTCCAGAAGTGATGGCTTCCCAGCTGCATGCATATGCTTTCAATATCTCTGCAGTAGAGAATAGGAGTCTGTGTATAAATGGCACACCGTGGATTTGGCATCTTCTGGAAGAATGTGTGGAGAATGCATGGGAGTACTGCAGCGTTGTCGTAGGACTGACTTCCATTGTCTGCTTTCTGTTTGCTGCACTACCGTAAGTTTCAAGTCTTTGGCAGCCCTTAGATTGAAACACGAGTAATCTTGCCTGAAGCCTTTTTCACAAGCTGCCTTTTTTTAAGTTTATCTTGGATATGTTTCTCTGCATAATGCAGATGTATTATGCCAGAGAAGCATGTTGTTCATGTTTAGAACAATATTTGGTGGTTGACAAATGAGCTTGATGTACTGTTCTGTTGTACTGACTTGACACTAATCTCTGCCACTTAGAGAAAATGAGAATAAATCACCTCTTCTCCCTTATCTTCTCCACCCTGAGATGTGTGCACACAGCATGCTTGCTGCAGAGACTGGCTCACTGTGTATGTAAACCACACGCCATGTCACCAGTGCTGTTGAGCTGGGTCCTGCCAGTGAAATTTGGACTAAGACCAAGTCAGGAACACGAGTTACTGCTTTGGTAGTGCAAAACCAATTGCTGTTGGGAGAACTGGCACTGGGTTTGGATTTCCAGTGTGAAGGTAGGAGATGGCAAAAGGAAAGTAGAAATGCTGCTTGGAGGTGAAAGTGCCCAAAACAAAATAGGATTGTCCTCATAACAGGAATATAATTTACTGAACTAATGAAAGGCTGATGGAAATCAAAATCAGAACACGCTCAGTAAGCTGTAGAGCTTTTGAAATATGAGTTGAAAGGAGGCTTTACATTCAGAGTGTCACGTTAGCCACTGTGTGATTCATCAAGACGTGTCTAATGGACTGAAATTTGGGATTGCTTCATAGCTCCCATTGTGAATTTGAAGAACAGTTCTTCAATTTCGAGGCTTAAGTGTTGTTGTCAGCTCTCACAGAAGCTTTGTTCGTTCTTAGCCCTTCTGTTAAAAGCGTTTCCTGTTTCAGGATTTCAAAGGCTGGTATTTCCAGCTGATGAGTGCGAAGCGATGAAGGCATAGTTTTGGTGTCCAGACTGATATTTCACTGCAGAAGACACACACATAGCACACACAGAAGTTCACACAAGCAGTAATGAAGATGTGACACGGTCAGCACTGGTGACACTGAGTTCTCCTTCTGAGTGTCAGTGGGTGTTGCTCTGATGGGTCTCTTGTAGTTCTGTTGTTATTCTTTCCTTACTCAGACTTTGAAAATTGTATGTTACAACTTGTCAGAGGCATTTTTGGCTAACAGTGTGTCCCAATTCTGGAATTTGTGCCAGTCAAATTCACGTTGCCTGTCGGGATGGAAAGGTGGACCAAGCGCTGTCTTTGGGCTTTCTGCTGTGTTGGATGGCTGGAGATGTCACAAATCTGATAGGCTGCTATTTAACAAATCAACTGCCAATTCAGGTAATCTGTTGATATTTCTACTTTCTGATATATCCTTTTCAGAATGTCTCTTTAAACTCTAGGATGCTGTGATAATACACAGTCCAGTAGGCACCACGGCAGAAAATAGTTTTACATTCTGCTCACTGATCTACTATCCATAAAGAAAAAAAGGTCATAATTTCTCAGATGTTTACTTTGATACCATCATGTGTGGCAGGAACCATTTCGCTTCTGCAGTCAGCATTACAAGAGACTTACTGGGATGAAGTGGGGAACTCCCAGTTAAATTTTTCTTTCAAAGTAAGTTTGCAGAGCAAACAGAGCTGGATGCAAGTTGTGCTGTTCAGCTTCTGATAGATTAAGCTACCGTGCTGCAACTACTCTTAAAATTTCCTTTTGTGTATTTGATTTTAGGAGAAGTGTTTAGTAACAGAAACACCAGTTCAAAGAAGCTGTTAATCCCTTACAAATCCAAAATTACGGTTTCTTCAGTGAAGGGAGGGCTTCTCTGGAGGAAGCTGTAGTTGTCAGTGATAGGTCATTGGTGTCTGAAGCTTTCTTATCTGCTGCTCTTATTTTCAGCTCTTCCATTTTCTTACACTTTATGCTGCATCGATCTGCTGCTGTCCAACTTGTTCCTCTGAATGCTTTTCTTCCTTCTTTTGGCACAGGCTTTCTATTTGTTGTGCACGTTATTATTAAGAAGCACAACTTAGTTCTGATGGTATTTTGTGCTATGTGTACTGAACAAGCAAATGTATCTTCTCTTTCAGACTATCACTGCCATCTCCTACGTTAACATGGATATCATTTTGATTTCACAATTTGCCTATTGCAAGCTCAAGAATTGGAAGATGATGAAAGGTGAGGCTTTTTAACAGTGAAAACATTTTCCTTAACGCAGGTTCTTCACCTTGATGTTTTCTGCAGAGTTTAAATAAAGCCTATCTAAAAATGGGGTACGCAGATTCCAGCTGGAGTTGTTAGGCCTATTTCTTCCAATTCTCTCAGCCTTTTGTGAAAATTCTTTTCTTCTGCCTTTCTCCCCTCCTCTTAACCACTCAATATCTGTCAATACTTTCTATGTAGTACAGCCAGTTTATATAGGCAGGAAATGAAGCCAGAACCTGGTTCCATATTATGATTTGCTCCATGGTTTTACTGTCTACTTGCAGAGATCTAAATATACAGAGAAGTTGAAATTAAGTGTTATTTTTTGTGTGGTTCAGTTAGTTTCTTCCGTGCTGATTAAAACAGGACTTCATTTGCTTACATCATCAGATAACTTGACATCTTCATGCGCTCTGTTTCAATGCATACAATTTAAAGGCACTCAAGAGGAACAAAATTACTCGAGTTGCTTTGTAATCACTGGCAGTAGTTGTAATATTCAGTCTACCAAAAAGACTATTGAAATAGAAGGCAGAAAGCTCTGTGCACGTTGCATGCAATCAAAACCAGTAGCTCATCAGTCTTAAAAAAGCAAAGGAAACCCGTGGTGTAGCGGGGGTAACAAAAAGCTGAAGGAAAGCACATGCCTGCACAGCACACTAAGTAGGATAAATCCAATTCTTTCAATATGGTACTGATAATAAACGTGAGGATAGGGCAGTGCTGAAGATGCCTCCTTCCTACTGCCTGCTCTTGTAAACAAACATGGGATTTTGTGCATTATAACTGCTCCTGCCTGCTTCAGCTCAACTCTGCATAGCTGGGGAGGGAAGAATGGTATTTGTGAATAAAGCAATACAAGAGAGCTCTCAATACCCAGTTTTAGAGCTCTGACCATGGACAAGTTGGTCCGTTTTGTGAGTTGGTCACAATCCAAGCACAGGCTGTGAAACCACTGTAGTAATTCCTGTCCCTGTGATACAGGTTGCAGGTCTATGGGGCAGGCTTCTGATGCCATACAGCCGTTTGTTCCACTGGTGACAGTCACCATAGGAGCAGTGCCTGTTAAAGGAATGCTCCTGCACTGCTCCTGCAGTGGTTCAGTAGACACAGTGTGTGATGAGCAGGGCTGGGGACAGAGCCCAAGGAGGTGGAATCTTTAGGCTGAAGTGAGACGTTTACATGTTTGTATTGTGGATGAAAAATAACCTTAACAGCAGGTGTTATTTTCCAGCTCATTTGCTTGTCATTCTTATCATTCTAGGCAGCAGAAGGCTGAAGAATTTCTGTATAACCTGGATCTTGATGTGCATAACCCTGTGTGTTGTTTTACCCTGCCAGCTGTTTATCAGAAAGCAAGACCAGAGCTCAGCAATGGAAAGAAGTATTGTAAGTGCTTACCTGCTTCCATTCCAAGAAACGAAGCTGACAAATTCGGTGTCTTGAAAACATTGTGTGCTCTGAGTTTTCAAGAAATCTGGGTGATGTTTTTAACGATGCTTCAGAAGCCATAAATGTGGCACCGTGTGGATCTCTAAGTACGTACCCTACATTCCAAAATAAATAAGCTGCAAAATAGCTTCTTATAGCAGCTCCCTGTATTTCGGGCTCATTCTATCCCTTGGGTTATTAGGATGTGCTGCTTTGTGAAATGACACGTCCACGTGTTGTCTTTCTGCCTGTGTTGGGTACTGCAGGCATCCATGGAGAGACTGTGTAGTGAAAAGTGCAATCAATAACAAGTGGGGAATTACAATTGTGCCTGCTGCTGCTGCTGTCACTTTACCAGCAAAGTTCACAGGCTGTTCTAGCAATTTGATGGCCTTCGTGTTAATGCCGGTAAAATAATTGTAATCCAGCAACATTGCCCAGCAGGGAAGCAGCTTATTTTCCAAATACAGCTAAAATGAGAAAACTAACAATTTAGTGGCCCTGGCGACGGGTTTTCAGTTTTGGCTTGAATTATTGTGCCCAGGCTTTTTTAGCAGAAGAACCGGATTGATACGAGTGTTATGTCCTGAAGCCTGGTGCCGATTTTGATCTCGGTCTCAGCCGTGACGCAGCACTGTGCATTGTTGTGAGATAAAGATGAAACACTTTCTCGTCCTTTTTTGGTCATTTGAAGAGCAGCCTTGAGCTGCTTTGAAAGTTCTGTCCAAAAAAACAGCCGGCGGGCTCTCAGTTTAAGTCTCTGAAATGCTTGAGAACATTCTTGCCAAAATATATGTCCCTTTATTTTTCAGAACTCTCTCGATATGATTGAAATGTCAGGCTTCGTTTGTGGCTATATATCCTGTGTGTTTTACTTGGGAAGTAGATTTCCTCAGCTGTATAAAAACGTAAGTCTGTTTTTGGCTGAGCACACTTGTATATTTTACCAAATGCTCTGCGTTGCTTGAGATTTGGCCTCGAAGTGTGAAAGCCTCCCTGGCTTTTGTGACAGTCTGAAACGTCAAAGAAGGGTTTTCTTTCCCCTTTCAAAAGAGGATGGTGAGAATTTTAGGAAAATGATGGTCTTTAATCAGTAGAAGGGTATTGATTGGGCAGGAAAGAGGAAGGTTTACAGCTGGATTTAGGAGATACATAAGCAGAAATGTGCTTTGTGTGATTGTTCTCATGAGCAACTGATGCCTCCCTTATTTTTTTTCCCTAAATGATTCTACTGTAAGAAACCAACTGCAGGATCAAAAACTGAAATCACAGGAAAAGTAGTTTAAAGCTTTAGCCCTTCTTTTTTCCCTTCAAAGATATCATCACTGACTTTTTTTAACATGCCCATATTAAAAAAAAAAAAAAAAAAATAAAAATGAGAGGCTATAGAAGAAAAAATCCTGCAGGTTTTACATCATCAAATTCATATGGATCTTTTAGTTGGTTATAAGAAGGTTTGGTGCATTTCCAAGCTTATTCCCGTTCCCCTTTCCTTACCTTTTCCATTCCAGCTGGAGTACAACAACCTTTTCAAAGGGCTCTACTGTGCACACTGATAGAGAAGCAGATTGCCTAAGAACTAAATATCATTTGGAAGCAGATTATCCTTGCTGCTTTGCACCTACATAAAAACTACATTAAGCAGAGCTGCTTCTAAGAGCTGTAACAATTTCAGTTGCTTTCAGTGGCGTGTACTGAAAATACTGAGCTGTGAGGGCTCAGGAAAAGATGGAGAGGAACGACTGAAAAAAATCTTTCAGTGTGTGATAATAGAAAGTGCCAGAGTTATATAGAAATGTTTACTATGATGCATCTTAAAACATGTTTTCTGTATAAACCTCCTTGTCTTTAGTTTCAGAGAAAGTCAACAGAAGGCACCTCTTACCTGCTGTTTGCATTGGCCATGCTGGGAAACTGCACGTATGGCCTCAGCCTTGTCCTAAAGATGCCTGCTGCTGGATCTGTCCGGGCCCTCTACTTTTTACACCATCTTCCATGGCTCCTTGGGAGCTTTGGAGTTTTGTTCCTGGATGTTTTTGTATCCTTTTCCTGTTAGAGCTCGAGTTTGTCAGGTTGGACTTGTCTGTGTTTACTGATGATATTAAGTTCATATGAAATGTATACAGGAAAGCTGCATTGCAGAGGTTAAGTTCTGTCTTTCAGCATCTTTGCTCTTAGCTCTGTTAACTCCAGGTATGAAATGGGATAGAATGAAGAGTAATTTCAAGACCATGCGGTGCTAAAGGACGCTGTGTTAATCCGTTCCATGCTCAAAGGAAGTTCTTCACCAGATTGACTTGGAGCAGTTCAAGAAGTTAGGATTCCCAGGCGCTGAGGTTGTTTTTCCTGATTAAAGTAATTTCATAAGCCACTCCAATTAGCCTAATGATGGACAGCTGACCCTTTGGGTGGACTCTGAATTCATGCTGTCATTCAGAACAGCCATCTGTGCTTCTTGCATCTACAGCCACAATGGTTTAAGTGGGCAGTTCAAACAGTAAAAACGTTTGCATTGTGGGAGCACAATGCTTGTGTGACTAAATGGTGGTTAGCAGCCTGTTTTGAGATGTTTTTTTAGTTTTCTCTGTAGAGACAATACAGACAATAGGGGTTCAGGGCTGCTTGTTAGCCCAGGTGGCTGCTCTGAGTGCTCAGACCTTTTGTTCCATACATGAGGTAGTTACTTTTTCTCCCTCCCTACCCCCAGATGGAAGCACAAAACTGTCTGTGTTTATTTACCAAAATAAAAAAATTAATAATAATAATAGAATTGGATCTGGACAACCCTTACAGTACATGATGTGCATATTTGGAGATGCTTTTCTGTGACGTACTCTGAAAAGAAACTTTTATGTGGGCCACAAACCTCCCCCATCTCTGAGCCCAGCCTGCAACTGCAGTGCCAGTGTGCACATGACATTCATTTCTCAGTTCTGTCTTGATTGGAGGCTGAATCCAATCTTGCTAATAGCCTTCCAGTTCAGATTGTATTGAAAGCAGATGCTTCCAAATCAGGTTGAGGAGCTTATAGAAATCTGGTCGTGTATGTAGTGTTAGTTCAAAATGTATGAAGTGTTTGTAATCAAGAGAAAACAAGAGCAGACCTCCAGCTTTGAGAACTCCCTGAGGTATGGAAGTAAATGCTTTTTAAAGAAGAGAGCTTCGTTACTGTCTCTTGCCAAACGAGAAAATCAAAATTCCAACAGAATGCTGTGTCGTGTTGGACCAGAAAAGAAAGACCAGGGATGCTTGGCTTTTGGGAAGCAGAGGGATTAAGTGAAAAGGTTGTAATTTCTACAAGAGAGGTGTTTCATAATTGACCATTTGTGTGGCAGTCTCTGTTTTGAGAAGTAGTTCCTGACACTGTCCAATTCTAGTGGGGTTTATTCTCACAGTGTGCAGAGTTTCATTAGGTGGAGAGCAAGGCCTCATTTCTCAAGGTCCAGGGGAGGATTAAGGGTTCACTTACTCTGTGTCTGCTGCAGTGTTCGTTCTTCTGCTTCCATCTGACGTGGCCAGGGTTGACTATTTTTAGGAAGAAATGGACTCCTGATGGCAGCAGGAGCAGTGTTGGTTAGCACAGGATTACACTGGGTTGTGTCAGCTTGCTTAACAGGATAACGTGGTCATCCTTTTTCCTCGGTATCCCAACTTAGATTCGTTGAGTTGCACAATAAGCCAGTTATTTTCAGTGAATAATGCGAATGTCCAATTGTTTGTGAAGTATGAATTGTCCTCTTTTTTTTTATTTTTATAATTTTAAAAGGAGTTTCGTAACAGGGGGAATTTGAATTATAAATCGGACGTGATTTCCTGTTCCAGTGATTGTCTCCTTCCAACTGCTGCTTTGTACTGGAAGTTGATTGGAGTTTCTCAAGAGGCCACAAAGCCCAGGGTGTAAATGTGTGCTTATTAATGGGTGCCTTGTCTGTAAGAGACACTGGGTGCATGGGTGCCTGTCTTAGGGTCTGTGCTGGACCTTATCAGAGCTCTTTAGGTGCATGAGTGCTTAATGGTCTGTTTGTATGCAAGGACTGAGTCCAACATATCCTAAAATCACAGAATGGCCTGGTTTGAAAAGGACCACAATGATCATCAAGTTCCAACCCCCCTGCTATGTGCAGGGTCACCAACCACCAGACCAGGCTGCCCTTTGGCACTCAGTGCTGCCTGCTGCTGAAAGCAGCGGACCTGAATTTAGTGTAAGTTTTTGGAAAACTTGGTCCTTTTCTGTATCTTCTTTCACCCTACGTCCTTCTTCCTTTTACCAACAGAACGAAACAACTCTGCTTTGTACTTAGATTCAGGTGAAGCCCTTTACCACGTTTTTTGCGTTTGTTTGTTTGTTTGACAGCATCCTATTGTCAGAGAACCCTGTTCAAATCCTCCATACCTACTTCTTTTCATTAAGTGTAGCCAGGTTGTTACTAAATAGCCCAAGTATATTCAGCCAGAGCCAGGCTGCTGTATACAAACTGTTATCTTGCACCTTTTGTGAATTGCAGGGCAGCCACTTGGAATCCATTGTATGCTCCTACAAAACATCACACTTTGTAATTTAATTACACAGTGCATAGAATGTAAGTCCGACCTCGGCAAGACTTTCCCAGCCAAACGTACTTCTCTGCACTCGTGTGTTTTGTCTCAATGCAGTTAGGTTATTTGAGTTGTCATTCAGTTGTCTTTATGTTTTGTGCAGATTTGACACCGTAGCCCAGTGGCCATCGCCCCCATCGCTCTGAGGAGTCCGTTTGGTTGTCTCCTCCACTTGGTGCTGTCTGCATGCTTAGCCCATATGGTTTCCCCCAGGAAGTCAAAGACTTGAGCAGTGACTGTTTTTCCATATTAAGCTGTCTTACAAATCCAGCATTTATTTTAAAAACGTGAGCAGATGAGTGCATATGCTAAGAAAGAAAAGCCTGATTCTGGAAATACTCTTTTGTGAATTCCACGTGGTTGGTTTGTAACTTATCTTCCTTAAAAGCTCTGTTGCCAGCTTGGTGGCTAACAGTGATAGTGTTTCAGTCCAGACTTGTCCCAGACTACCATCTGTTTTCAGCAATTTGATCCCCTGTTCACCACATCCTTTCTTACCCATGCAGCTATTAAGACTTGGGGAGATGCTGTGCTGTGAGTACAATAAGGCCTACTTGCAAAAAGAAAGAAAGAAGAAAAGAAAAAGAAAGAAGCAGGAAGTGTAAGCAGCAGCTATATATGTTATAAAGCTAATTTGCTAAGCTTAAGAAGATGATTCCCCAAATAATAACTTCAGAAAGACTTAAAAAGAGTGCTGATCTGCTGTCTATGAAGGAAATCCTGTCTAATCTTTAGCTGGGGGGCCAGAGAGGTGGGATGCAGGAAAGCTTTGGAAAAAGTAGGACGATTACTAGGGCTTTGCCTGTGATGTAGACAACTTCCCCTCTTTCCAGGCCTCTCTGAAGATAATTTCCCTTTAAAAAACAAAACACCAACGCTTATGGAAAGACATAGCTGGGTAGCTTTGTGTTCTATCTTTATCTCACAAATGGTGTCTCTATTAGAAAACAAAGGGTTTTGTGTCAACGTTGGTGCTTAACTATCTGGCAAAAGGAGTGAGACCTGCTGTCCTTTCCAGGTGCACATACCCATTTATCTAAAGGTAGGGTTGCTGAAAGCCAGCAGTGTTGTTTCAGAGCTGGAGCTATCAAGAAAAAGACCAAGTACATGCTTGTTAATTCTTTGTAGATTAGTAGCATTTCCAGTGGTCTGTTTTACAATAGAAATAAACACGTCTAATTGCACAATTCTGTGTTGAAAACAGCATTAAATATTGAGTCCTAGAGTTGTCAGGCTGTCAGTGCCTGTAAATCCCAAATGAGGTGGAACTTTGTGGGAAATGAGACTCATAGAATCAGAAGGACCTGGGTTGCACAGGAGCACAGTGCTCATCCAGTTCCAACCCCCTGCTGTGTGCAGGTCACCAACCAGCAGCCCAGGCTGCCCAGAGCCACATCCAGCCTGGCCTTGAATGCCTGCAGGGATGGGGCATCCACAGCCTCCTTGGGCACAACGAGCATCTTGTTTTCTGATCAGGCCCTGCTGATCTGCTGCTAAGAAGGTCTTACCAGCTTCCCCTCCTTCCCATCATCCAGAAGTGGGGTTCCCTGCCCACCTTGCTGTAGGAGCACAGGGCAATGGGGGACATTGCTCCTCTTCCACTTCTAATTAGTCTCATACTTAGAACCCATGCAAACAAGAGATATTAAAGGATGTCTTCACTTGTATTTGAACCACAGAACCAAGGGGTTCTGGAATTTTGATTTTTTTTTTTAATTTTTTTTCCCCTGTATCTTCCTGTTTTTAGTATTGATAAAATGACTGAACTTTTTGCCATACAGCATTGAAAATGAGAATTAAGAAAGATATGGAGAAGTTTATCTGCTAATGTAGAACCTTCTACAGTTAGGATTAGATAAATGAGTAATACTCCACGCTATGTGAATAAGTTCTAAGCTTTCCTCTGTGGACTCTGGTACGCTGAGTCTGTGCCAGCACTAAATGGAGGGCTGCTCTTCTGCACAGCTTATTTCGTCTTTGATTGGAAGCAAGTGCTGCCTCTGTATCCTGGTTAATTACTTCCTTACCCCAAAATAACAGGTGACTGTGCAGTTCCTTCTGTATGGTCAGCACAAGGAGAGATCACATGCCTTGGTGGCACTGGAAGTGGAGCCACTGCTTGTGGGTGAGGAGGATGCATAGTGCTGTGCTCAGCCCTCCTCACGCCTGGGGACTTGGATGGGTCAGACTGCAGGAGCTTTGCAACCACACTTATTTTTGGTATTCATGTATTTGTCATTAATTTGTCACTGCTTGTTTAACGTTTTCATCTTCACATCATTTGCAAATATTTATTCTGTTGCTTCAGAACTGTATTAAGTCTTTGTTTTCCTGAATGCTTGCCTTTCTCACTGTTCCTCCCTGTGATGGGAATCACAGCAGTGGGTGCTTTGGGAGTATTTGTTTGACACGATGATGCCGTGCATATGACAAGGTGACAATTTTTAGATGAAAATCTACATCTTGATAGCAGTAATACGGCTGTTTTAAAACTAGCCCTGAGCCTTGAACTCAGCGTGGAGTTCTGTACTGCTCAGTGTGGTCACATTGCATGGAAGAAAATTGGCCTTTAATTAAGAACCATCAGTGCAGAGGATCCATTGCTGATGTAAAAGCAGAATTGTGGTGTGAGCTCTTGAGATCATAGAATCATAGCATGGCCTGGGTTGAAAAGGAGCACAGTGCTCATCCAGTTCCAAGCCCCCGCTGTGTGCAGATCACCAGCCAGCAGCCCAGGCTGCCCAGAGCCACATCCAGCCTGGCCTTGAATGCCTGCAGGGATGGGGCATCCACAGCCTCCTTGGGCAACCTGTAACAGTGCCTCACCACCCTCTGGCTGAAAAACTTCCTCCCGATATCCAACCTAAACCTCCCCTGTCTCCGTTTAAAGCCATTCCCCCTTGTTCTATCACGGTCCAACTGATAGTTGGATCCCCATGTACACTGCAGAGCGTCACTATGCATTTTGTTGTTTTAATTAAAACTTTATATACCAATGCCTTTGCCTTCTGTGGAACATAATTACTGCTTGTTGTCATACGTTGCAGATGTTGGTTTTCTAGGACTTGCATTTCATTGCAAGCTGCTGGGTAGGGTAAGTACTACACAGGGAAAAGACAATACCACAACATAAGGAGACTGTACCTTGTCATTGCTTATTGAGCACAAGGGATTTTGTCAGTGCTCTGTTGTGTTTAATGAAATCCTTAATAAGATCCAAGAGAATAAATTCAAGTTAATATTTCATTGAATGTGTATGTGATGATTCACGCTTCAGAAAATAAGTTTATGACCAAAAAGGCTGTTTCTTCAAAGTCAATATGAGTTGGCATGCTGTTGGGCTCATCATGAAACTCATTCCCTTTGAAGAACGAGACGGGGCCTGGCTGTGTTTGGAGGGGTGAGGTAACATCAGCCCTGCTGTGGGGTATGGAAATGCAAACTGATTTGTAACTTCTGTTCCAGGAGTGATCATAGAACCCTAGAATGGCCTGGGTTGAAAAGGACCACGATGCTCATCAGTTCCAACCCCCTGCTGTGTGCAGGGTCACCAACCAGCAGCCCAGGCTGCCCAGAGCCACATCCAGCCTGGCCTTGAAAGCCTGCAGGGATGGGGCATCCACAGCCTCCTTGGGCAACCTGTGCCAGTGCCTCACCACCCTCTGGCTGAAAAACTTCCTCCTGATATCCAACCCAAACCTCCCCGTCTCAGTTGAAAACCGTTCCCCCTTGTCCTTCACTATCCATGATGCATGTGAGTGGCTGCAATCTGGGGCTTCAGAAGCAGCCTTGTGAATGCCATGTAGAGCTGCGATGCTTTGCTGCTCTGCACAGCGTGGCCTCACTGAGGCTGTATGAGATCCAGCCCTGTGACACTGCTTACTTTATTGCTGTGTGTGCTGTGAGGGAATGTATTTTTGCTGCTTTCTTAAGCAAGCAGAGGGTATTAGAAGTTAACCTTTTCAGTACATAAATTAAAATGCAATTTGTCTCACTTGCAGATTTATATGCTGTGCGCATGAGATTATCAAACTCCTGCCTGGCTGCTGATTGAAACCATGACTTGTTACTTTCTAATGCAGTTAGAATTTGGTCTTAGATTATTTTTTCAAAGATTATTTCCCCTTCTGTTGCTCCATGTAATCCTATTTTGGGTTGCCTTTTTATCCCTATTTCATCCTGCTGTTCATTGAAACAGCCAAATACGGGATATACAAAGTTAATAAGATTTAAGAATTCTGATGGAAAACAATTTAACTTTCTAAATGCACAGCAGTAGTTGTTGATTTATGGCAGTTCGTATGTATAATATTTCACATATAGATTAAGTGAGTTTCTGGGGGGAAAAAAATATTTCCTACCAACAAACTTGCTGTTGGGTGTTTTTGGGAGGGTGGGGGCAGTGCCATCCCTGCTGCTGGATGTGGGGATGTGAACTCAGTTCCGTGCAGCATGAGTTAGACATGCAATAACCACTCGTGTCATCACCCAGCAGGTACATCCCACTGTCACTGCTGCTTCCTGTTGCC